CTCTCTCTCTCTCCCTCTTTCTCTCTCCCCCCCTCTCTCCCTTTCTCTCTCTTCCTCTTTATTTCTTTCTCTCTATCTTTCTCCATCTCTTTCCCTCTCTTTCTCCCTCTCTCTTTCTCTCCCTCTCTTTCTCCCTCTCTCTCTCTCCAATTGGGAATCGATTTGGAGGTGGGGAGGGGAGTGGCCGAGGGCTACCTGTGTGACCTTGAAGTGGCCACCTTTGGAAGTACCAATGCTGCTCCTGCCAGGCTCGAACCGGGCAGAGCAGGTGATGGGAGAAGAGCGAGGCGATCGCCTTCCCGGCAGCCGGGACTCCAGCGCGCCTTCCCAGCCAGCGGGGCCTATGGTAGCGCCGGGATCGCGTGGCTCCCTGGGAAAGGAACTTCCTCCCACACTTCTCAGGGGGTGGGGCACCTGAGCACAGGGTTAATCAGGAGCCCCGCAAGGGGGCAAGCCTGTATGAAGAGCCATGCCCTTTCTGTGGGGGAGGGACACGATGAGGGAGCCAAACAATCGCGGGACGAAGATGCAGCCAGCTGCCGGAAATGCCATGCAGGAAAAACAGCTGACAGGAGCCTGCCGGGCGGCGTGCGTGACTCCAGCGCACCCTAGGACTGTTCTGTCCCCGTCTCACACACACACCCAAACAGCCAGGGTTAAATAACCTTCTCAGACACTCCACGCCACTGATAAGGAACTTGGCAGCAACTCCATAGCTGCCTGCCAAGAACTTCTTTACTGCGATAACACAGACAAAAATACATACAGTTTGAATAGTCCAATTTGTAATTAAATCCACAGCAAATAGGCATTGTGTCCAAAGGTGCAAAGTGATTCGCCAGAGATTTAGCTTTGTCCGTCACAGAGTCTGAATGGCCACCATACTCTCTTTTATAGCCTGTGGGGTGGGGTCCAGTGACTCAGCTTAATCTCTGGCATGCCTCCTTTTCTGCTGCGCACGCTTGTCTTGCCTACGCTGGTGTGGGTCCAGCCACAACATATCTTCGTCACTATCCGACGGCTCGGAAACACCTGGCTCCTGGCCAATCTCTTCTCCGTTGGGAGACACCTGAGGCATTGCCAGAGAGGAGGGTCCTGGAGAGAGAGGCCTGGTCATCTCCTCTCCTTCATGTTCGGAGCCTTCTTCCTCCAATAAGATGGGCTCACAGGACAGAACCACAACACTATCCCCCACCGCAGGGCCCTTCTGACGGTCTGACGGTCGGGATGTGGTCGGGACGGGAACTGGTCGTGAAAGGCCCGTACCAGATCAGGGGCCTGAATGGAAGAAGCGTCCACCCAGCTAAAATCCTTGGGGCCCGTACCCCTTCCAGGCGATGAGGTATTGGAAGCGCCCCTTCAGCCAACGGGAGTCCCGGATGCTGTCCACCTCGTACGTTGAGGTGTCGTCCTCGTCGGCTGCGGCTGGGGGGGCAGACGTCGTTGGGTGTAGGAGATGGCTCTCTGGGGCCTCAGGAACCAGGAGGGACCAATGGAAAACGGGGTGGAGCCGCATGGAGCGTGGTAGAGTCAACCGGTAGGCCACCACGCTGATGACCGCCTCGATGGGGAAGGGACCGATAAAGCGGTGGTCCAGTTTCTTCACCGGCCAGTCCATGGGGAGGTGTTTTGTGGACAGCCACACCCGATCTCCGACTTCCAGCGGTGGCATTGCCTGCCGGGAGCGGTCGGCGACCTGTTTATAGTCCTCTTTTGCCCGGATCAGCTGCCGCCGCACCAGTTGCTACACTGCCTGCAGCTCCGAGAGGAAGTCCTGTGTCTCGGGAACAGGGGAATCCGAGATTAATAACGGGAAAAACCGTGGATGGTATCCGACGTTGGCATGGAACGGAGTCATCTGGGTGGAGGTGTGTTGAGAGTTGTTGAAGGCGAACTCCGCCAGGGGAAGGTACTCGGCCCAGTTGTCCTGCTGCTGGTTGACGAAACAGCGGAGGTACTGCTCCAGGATGCCGATGACCTTCTCCGTGCCCCCATCAGTCTCCGGATGGTGCGACGACGACAGGCGCACCTGCACCTCCAGCGCGGCCATCAGACTTTTCCAGAAGTGGGCCGTGAACTGGGCCCCGCGGTCCGACACCACCCTGTCCGGCAGGCCATGGAGGCGGAAGATGTGTTGCAGGAACAGACGGGCCATGGTGTGGGCCGATGGCAGTCCACGGCACGGGATGAAATGGGCCATCTTGGTAAGCATGTCCACCACCACGAGGATGGTCGTGAACGTGGCGGACAGTGGCAGATCCATCAGGAAGTCCATGGATATGGCACCCCATGGTCTCTCCGGTGTCGGTAATGGCTGGAGAAGTCCAGGAGGTGGGCCGGACGCGGATTTGGCCTGTCGGCATGTCACCCAGGACGTCACGTACGCGTGCACGTCATGCCGTACCTGAGGCCACCAAAAAGTCCGCGTCACCAGGTTCAATGTCTTAAAGAAGCTGAAGTGCCCCGCCACGGGGTTGTCATGGCACTGGTTCATGACAAGGGCTCAGAGCGGACTCGTGGGCACGTACAGCCGGCCCCCATGCTTCAGCAAGCCCTTCTCCAAGGTCCATGGGGATGCTGGGCCGACTTCCGCTTTCCGCTGCTGCAACCAGTCATCCCGGTGCTGCGCTTCCAGCACCTGTGCCCGCAGGTCCGCCGGTTCCTGGACCGCGGCCAAGGATTCTTCTGGCAGCACCGTCCATGGGGGAAGGGAGTCCTTGGGGCAGAAGTATTCCGGCTTGCGGGATAGCACGTCTGCCCTCTGGTTGAGGCTGCTCGGAATATACGTGACATGGAAGTTGAACCGGGCGAAAAACAACGACCACCGGATCTGCCGCTGGTTCAACTTCCTGGCTGTGGTGAGGTGCTCTAGGTTCCGATGGTCCGTCCGCACCTCCACCTGGTGTCGGGCCCCCTCGAGGTAATTCCGCCAAGCCTCGAACGCGGCCTTGATAGCCAGTAACTCCTTTTCCCAGATGGTGTAATTGCGCTCGGAAGGATTGAGTTTCCGTGAGTAATAAGCACAGGGAAAACAAATGCCACCATCCACCGGGGCCTGTAGCAGTACTGCTCCAATCGCCACATTGGACGCATCCATCTCGACCACGAACGGACGGTGTGGATTGGGATGCCTCAGGACCAGCTCCGTGAGGAAGGCCCACTTGAGGACCTCGAAGGCCTGCTGCTGCAGGGGCCCCCACTGGAACGGGACCTTCTTCCGAAGGAGTTGGGTCAGCGGCAAGGTCAGGGTGGCGAAGCCTGGGATGAAGGTCTGATAATAGTTGGCGAACCCCAGCAGACGCTGGACGTCCTTCACCCAACGTGGGGGTTCCCAA